AGTGCTGGCTTTTTTAACCTTGACCTAAAGATAACTTTGAATGCAATACAGAAACAAGCTGCAGGTCAGCTGACTTATAATATCTGTCAGGAGAAGGCATCCCAAAGCACATCTAGTTTTACTTTCTAGTATATTTTATAAAGAGGACACACCGCCATCCCCATGATGAAGCAAACTGTGGTACTTTTCACAGAAGCAGCAGGAAAAAAAAATCATCCTCTAGTAATAATTTCATACAGCAACTTCCTCCTCAAGGAGTCAAGAGGCAATTCTCCTACTCTCTCAAACGTCCTTGTGGACAGAAAACAGAAACAAGGCCTGATAAGCAAGTTTTAAACCAGCCTAACAAGCTCTAACCAGGGGGGCACAGGTAGTTAGTTCATCTAGATGCTTGGACACAGCTGTGCTGAAAGTCAGCGAGAGTATGAAACACTCCAAAACCATCAAAGGAAAATTCACCATTAGAACAACTCAAATTGAAAACAAGAGGCTTCTGTGGCTGAAACATCAGCCCAATATCATCTTACATATCTTTTATGTCATATGTACAGAGTTCATACTTAACCTTCTCGAAACGCATCGTTTTGCCCTCAGCTCCAAAACAAAGCACTTACCTTGGGGCAGGGCTAAACTAACTCCGTCACAGAAAAACATTCTGCAATTGCAATGACAAGAAACTGTGACAGATTATCAAGATATCCTCAACAAGAGTTATAAAGGCAGCAACTAATAACGGGTATATTTAACTCTTAAGAGGTCCTGCCAGAATTGTTGGGAAAATAAAATATAAATCAAAGCCTTAGTCCACTGACATATTATTAGAATACAGTATTTTTCTAAATCAGAAATCTGACCATATTTATCAGCTGCACAGGACAGTTCCATATAAAAAGACTTCGCTTAAGATATTTTGGTACACTGCTTTGTGAGACAAACTCCCAAACAACAAAGCAGTCTGTTGGCTACAGAAATACTACATTAAGAATATACAAAGATCCAAGTCCAAAGCATTCTGGAACCCCTCAGTGCTTCATAACCGAACACCAGAACACAGCATTCAGGTCGGGAAGCTCTGAACACCACATTAAACCAGGTGAACGTGAAGGGAACGAAAGCAGATGAAATGGAAGCACAGCGAGACGGGCTGAGATGAGAAAGGCAGCACGCACTACGGCACGCTCCTGGCAAGAGAAAGAGAGGCCTTGCTGATTCAGAGCCTTAAGATGGAGGGTTGCAGAGCTTGACACCAGTACAGATTCAGGGGAGCTCTGAAACGAACGGGAGCCAGGTCCAGCTCTTCTAATCTGAGCCCTAGCCGGGATCCAGGGGGGAGGTTGTTAGTCAAGGCGCAGCCCTGCAGAGCACGGAGCGAGCGGGCACATCCTTGTGCCGGGGCAGCAGTACCGC